GTGTAGTTATTACCTTAGTTATGTGTTGGTAAAAATATATTTATATGTGGGTATTAAAAACAATATTTATAGGTAATAACATTCAAATATATATAAAATATATACAAACATTTGCATGAATAGAAACATAAGCGTTAAAAATATCATTATAAATTAAAAATTGTATAACACAATATTTCAAACCACAAGAAAACTACAAGTCATAAAACTTGAAATACTTAAACTAAGAAAATATCACGAGACTGTCCCGACTGATGTACCACACTTCGATGTATCATCATCGGTCAAATCCTTGTGCACAGGTAGTGTTTCCTAAAAAAATAGATTTTCATGAGTGAAGTTAATATAAAAGTGTGTATAAACATATGAAAATAAGTAAAAATATGAAGTGTTATTAAATTTACCAAAGCAATGTATACACCTCTCTTAGCATGCCACTATACTTGAACCTCCTTCGGCTTCTTCCTTCCCCTTCAGCATTAAACATGTGAATGAAAAACTGCTACAATTAAACCATTAAAATTGGATGATATAGTGAACAAATAGGTGAAAGTAAATTGCTATTACAAGGAGCTTATCGTCTTCTAACCATTGGGATCCCACCAAGAAGGTTACATGCTTCAAAAGTTTTATAAACATCACCTGTACCTAATACTATCTGTGATAAACCATAAAATTATTTCGTACCTTTGATCGTACCAGGTTCTCTACTTATAATATCACCTCTTACCTTTATGATATCAATAGTCTTAGCAACCTGCAAAAAAAAAAAAAAAAAAAAAAAAGTATCCATGAGTAATAATGTATGTATGGACTATATGACCATTTTGAATATTTAAGAACGTGGAGAGAAAAATGGTACAATTTTTACTAACATTATCAAATGCAATGTCAAAATAACCAAAAATCAATAAAACTCAAATGAAAAAATAAAATCCATATACAAAATAACTTCTATTGAGCATTCCATCGAACACCGTATGAACAGAATCCAATTGTCTTAGCTTTACCTTGGCATACATAATCAATCACAAAACACCTTCAAGAAATTCTGCTGCACACCAAACACCTTCATAACACCAGAAATTGTATAGCTAATGAAACCTCAATGGTATTTCTAATGTAAAATCCCCATAATTTCCACCCATGGGTATAAAACAATTAATTTAGAAGTTTATTTTAATGTACAAAGGACACAAGAAATTACCTCTCCATCGATCTGAATTCTATTTTAAATAACACTCCCCATGTCAATCTATGTCAATCATCCAAGATGCTTATAAATTTAAGCAATGATGATGTTGGGGAAGGAGCATGCAATGACTGTTGGTATGCGAGAGGACGAAGTAGGAGGCAAGATTTCAGAAGAAAAAAAATTACCTAGAACCGAAAAACCGACGATTGATGTGGTGGGCGTCGCTGGCCGGGCAATCGGCAACGTCGTCGCTAGTAGAGGCGGATCGGAGAGGGGTGGGATGGGATGGAGGAGAAGGGGGTGGTATCGACAAGGCGTGCGATGTTGGCCTACGAAGGCTGTGGTACGTGCGGCGTTTTGTACGACGGCGGTAGTGTACGACGCCCGACGGTGGTACTTTAATCCAACGAGATGCAGGGAATAGGATGGAGGCGAGTATTCATTCGTGGCGGCAAGAATAGAGAGAAGAAGGTGACGAGCTAGGGTTAGGAAACAATAGGATTCGCACGCCTCTTTAACTATGATGGAGAATGGTAAATTTGGCTAAAGGAGGGAATCGTTAGAAAAATTTGGGGGCGAGATAGTTTAAATTAGATCGAATAATTTGATTGGATAGTTTTTTTTTGAAGTATTCCAAAAAGAACGATAATACTCCACAATTCAAATTACGTTGTTTAATTAGATGTTATAAATTAGTAAAAATTAATAATTTCGCTACACATACGCTCAAGTTCATCGTATTTAACTAAATGTTATATATTCCAATGTGTAAATATTTATTTCGCTAAGTATATATATATATATATATATATATATATATATATATATATATATATATTATGTGTTAGTAAAAAGTATTACCAATACATGTTTTTGATGACTATTATTTGTAAGTGTACATAAATTTATACCTACGTATATTTCATTATCAAATATGTGTGGTTATTTTATTTGCCAAGTCATTTTCGAAATAATAATAATGATTTTCTAATATATTTACCCACACATAAATATATTGATATTATGTGTTGATAAAACTTGATGAATTACTCACACATCTATTTAATATATATCCATATGTGTAAGTAAGTTACCTACACATAAAAAAACACATGTGTGGGTACTACTTTGCCATGTCATTTATAAAATATTAAATATTATTAATTATTAGTTAAATTAGTTATGTACACATTTGTGAACTAAAATCTTGTGTTGGTAAAACCAAATGAATCATCCATATATTTATTTAATCCATATATATGTGTAGGCATATTACCAACACATAAAAAAAATTTCAACGTGTGTAGGTAATTTCATATTACGTGAATCACAAATTTTGGAGGCAAAATTCCCTCCAAATAAAATGTTATTATAAGGTATTATCTACACATATTAAGTGTTATTTATTATGAAATTTTATTATTTTTAATTACCTACACATTTGTAAAAGATGTGTAGGTATTTACATACACATAATATGTGTGGGTAATTTATGTGTAGGTAAAGGCCACAATTTCTTGTAGTGATATTCATAAATGTACAATTTTAATGTAACGAAAGTATCACTTTAAGAGCACTATAATAACAACCAAATAATCATAATTGTAGTTAAGGCAAAATGGTTTTTGCAGGGTAAGAATTATATAGATGAATGTGGTGTCACATGGGGGGACGATGAAGAACAAAAGAAGGTACTTTATAACGGTGTGGAAATGTAATTACAACGTTGGATTTTATTCAGTTATTCCTCTTATGCTGATTTGCAGCTTTCTTTTATTTATATTAATGTTTCTGCAATTTTGACTTAGGTGATGTTTGTTTTTTCGAAGCAAAAATGTTTGAGGTCTGCAGACTACCTCTGGAATCCTCTGTAGCAAAAGAGGTGGACCAAACGGCTACAACATGTAATAAAAAGTTTGTTTGTTTTTTAACATCTGCAGATTGCTGCAATAAGTTAAAGTAAGGTGTGAAGAAGTTTGAAGCAGATGGTCTAGTGTTGCGCCACGCAGCACACGCACAATAATTTTTAAGTTAGAAGTCTTTTGAAAAACAAACAGCTACGAATGACCAAGTGTTGCGCGTGCGCTGCACAACACAACAATAAGTGGTCAGAAGTTGTTTTTAAAAAAAAATAAACATCTTAATGTTATTGAACCAGACATTATATTGTTTTATCCTTACAGGTAATTGTCTACCACACCATTACAATAAGTGATTGATGAAGTTTTAAAAGGAAACTTGGATCATGAAATGACTAAACTCTCCTTGTCATCTTCAATGAATATGCTAACAACATTACTTACAATGTTTTACTTTTATTTTTCGTGGTTAAAGCAAGTTGTGTTTTCAATATTATGTGTTTTCAACATTATGTCAATTTTTGTAGGTATTGGAAGAACCTGTGAGTGGAGATCGTCAACACCATTGGTCCCAAAAGCATTTAAAAAGCATATTGCTATTATATTATCGTATTTTTTTTCTTTTCTTATTAGCTTATTGTATTGTAAACTCATTCAAACCTATGTCAATCGGGAGCTTTTTACTAGTTTTTATTATTACTACTGGACACTATTTTTGTCCAAAATTTTATTATTGTATTGTAATCCTTTTTATCATATATCAAATCAAACATTAAAATGCGAATTTTATTTGTTATTCAGAAAAAATTATGCTACTTCTGCCTCTTCATTTGATTATTTAGTTTATTTATAATATTATTTTATTATTATACAAATATATTTATATATTGAAATTTAATGAATATATATTTAATATATTTTTTTGAATAACTTTTATATTCTAAAACAAATTCACATAAGATTTCAAAAAGTAAGTGCTAAATTGTAAGTAGGACTTTTCTTGCAAAAAAAAATATATTTGTACTAAACTTATATAGGATAGTTGTAAAATTTTATGTGGTATAATTGAAAAACTAGTTTTATTTTTATTGCGACAGTTCAAATTATAGACCTTAACTAAAAACATCAAGTTAGTTTTTTCTGACAAATGTCTTTAAAAAAATATAACATTAATCATGTCTTCGTATCTTAGTTACACAAAAGTTGTAGTTGAATCGGTAGCTTTGTATTTTAATTACACAAAAGTTATAGTTGAATTGGTAGCTTTGTATTTTAATTACACAAAAGTTATAGTTGAATTGGTTGTTATTAAAAAGTAGCATTTTAAAGATGCAAAATTTCATATATTAAAGATGCAAATGGATTCCGATTCGATGCGTATACTTGCTTCAAACTCCACAAACCCGGGTTCTAGTCATATTAATGGTCAAACAAAAAGACTACATGTTATTTTCCTATTTTTTATACAATAAGTAAACACATTTTGATTATCTTAATGGTCAAGGAAATTGTTATAAAAATATATGTTCCAACTTGTTTTTCAACTATGGTCCAACTTTTGGTTTTTTCACTTCATTGGGTTTTTTTACATCGTGTATTGGTTTTGGTATTTAATTAATACCCCTAAAACTTACTCAAGTATTTGACATTGTAATGTTTTTTTAACAATATGAGGCTTCTTTTTTGTTATTACACATGATATGTAGTTGAATAATGTTGTGAATTGTTATTTACATGATTATTCATGAGATGTAGATCATTGTCTATGATATGCACATTATTATACATGAAGAGTGCGCCATCCGATTCAAGAAACTTATTTCGAGAGTATAATTTATAAACACTAGTTAAGTGGAGAACAGATCCTTCCTTCCCAGCTCAAAAACATCAGGAAATCTTGATTTAAAAAACAAACATATATGGAATGGATGTTTCCTCCGAAGAGAATGAAATCGTTATATCTCGCTTGTAAAGATTCCCCAGCAGTCGCAAAGATCCATGCTTTGCTGATAGTTTCCGGGTACATTAATACTGGGAATTGTAATACCCAACTCATAGCCTCGTATTCTAGAACTGGGGATATTGAACTTGCTCACAAGGTGTTTGATAGAATTCCTAAGAAACGGGTGGATGCTTGGAACGCTATGCTAATCGCTTACTCTCGTAAAGATAGTCCTGGTGAAGTAATTAATCTATACCATGAATTGAATTCTGAAGGAATTAGACCTGACAGCTCCACTTTCACGGTGGCACTCAAGGCCTGCACAAGCATGATGAACTTGGAACTGGGAGAAGAGATTAGAAAGCAAGCAATCGAGTACGGGTATGAACATGATGTGTTTGTAGGATCTTCACTGTTGAATCTCTACGCAAAGTGTGGGAAAATGAATGACGCACTTAAAGTGTTTGAGAAAATGCCAAGAAGAGATGTTGTTTCATGGACTACGATGATAACAGGGTTTGCTCAAAGTGGGAGAGGCGATGAAGCCATAGATATATATCGTCTTATGCAAAAGGAAGGCATGAAAGGAGATCGAATTGTGATTTTGGGTTTGATTCAGGCTTGTGCCAATGTTAACGATACAAAATTGGGTCTTTCTGTACATGGCTATTTAATTAGAAGTCATCTTCTTCCCATGGATGTAGTAATTCAAACCAGTCTTGTAGACATGCATACAAAAACTGGAAACATTGAGCTTGCAGCTCGAGTATTCAAATCAATCCACTACAAGACTATAGTTGCTTGGAGTGCCTTAATTTCTGGTTATGCTCAAAATGGGTTTGCTATTAACGCATTTGATTTATTAGTAGAGATGCAGAGCTTCGGATTCAAACCAGATACGACTTCCATTGTTGGTATACTCTTAGCTTCTTCTCAAATCGGGTCTCTGAAACTTTCTAAATCACTACATGGATATGTGATAAGAACGGTAGCTTTGAATCAAATTTTAGGCACAACTTTGATCGATACCTACTCAAAATGTGGGTCCCTTCCTTACGCACGCAACGTGTTCGATGAAATTCCCCTTAAGGATACAGTCATGTGGAACACAATGATAGCTAGCTACGGGAGTCATGGGCATGGGAATGAAGCTCTTTTAGTGTTCCATAACATGTTAGAATCAAAATCAAAACCAGATCATACCACTTTTGCTTCTCTTTTATCAGCATTAGGTCATGCAGGTTTAGTAGAAGAAGGTAGATTATGGTTCAAGCTCATGGTTCATGAATATAACATTAACCCAACCGATAAACATTATGCTTGTATGGCTGATCTGTTGGCACGTGGTGGACACGTTGAGGAAGCTTATAATCTGATTGGTTCAATGAAAACTGAACCAGGGCTCCCTTTTTGGGTTGCCCTTTTGTCAGGATGTCATAACCATGGTAAGTTTTCAATTGGAGAAATGGTAGCTAAAAGGATCTTGGAGTTGAATCCTGATGATAACTCAGGGATTTATGCTTTGATATCGAATTTTTATGCGAAAGCAAGGAAGTGGGATGAAGTAGCTGATGTAAGAAACAAAATGAAAAGGAGTGGGAGAAAGAAAGTGCCTGGTAATAGTGTTGTGGAAGTAAATGGGAAGCTTCATGTTTTTCTTATGGAAGATAAGAGCCATTTTCAGTATCAAGAAATGTTGGAAATCTTGAAAATGCTGGATTTTGAAATGACTTCAACAGATGTAACCACAACAACAATACACACATCCTATGAAAATGAGGTGAAGGGGGAGGTAAGGATAAACAGGGAACTGTTGTGCGGATAAAATTTAAAAAAAAAAAAAAAAAATACAATATGCGCCCACACCGAATGATGATGTATGTCTAAATACAAATAAATAACCATTATATCATCCTTTATAAAATTCATGGTTAAAATAAAATAACTATCAATTTAATAATTATCATATATAAAATTCTAAATATAAGAAAACTACTAAAATAATTTTATTCTTAAAACAGTAAATTATTTCTTCCCATCTCGATTTTAAAGTATTTAAACAAATAAATGGTTTCATATATAACAAAAAAGAAGGCATATCTCACGCTTATCAATGTTATCACCTCATTCCAAGTATATTATATTACACCCCATTAATTTAAAACTCTTTCTGTACATGGAATTTAGAAGATGAGCGAAGCAACGAAGATGATTCAGAATATAAATAAATAAACAAAAATATAAATATACAAATAAAAAGTCAAAACATTATTTTTATTTTTGTGTTCGTTGATATTTGATTTTGAGCATGATGCTCATGTGACTCAATGAAGCTTCAATACATCTTTACAACAAAAAAATGTGGTGCTAAAAAAAACCTATCCTAAGGTTTAAAATACATTGTTTCGTACTTTACGTCGTAATTATTATTTTAAGTTGTAATTCATTTATTATTTTAAGCCGTAATTAATAGATTCGTTTTTTTTTTTGATCGTCTTAAAGTTTTCAATTTTTTTACTACTTACTCTTTAAAGTTTTTTACTTATACGATTCAAGTTTTCAATTGGATATAAACAACGCCTTCTTACAAGGTACCCTAAACGAAAACGTTTACATGTCCCATCCCCTAGGCTTTGTCAACCCATCTTATCCTCACCATGTTTGCAAATTAAACAAAGCCCTATATGGACTACTACGACAAGCATCGCGTGCTTGGTATGATGAACTCAAAACATACCTCATCTCTCTTGGATTCAAAGCCACAATTTCTGATCCATCTCTCTTTATTCTCAAAAACAACCAAATTTTCATTATAGTACTTGTCTATGTTGATGACATTATAGTCACCTCTCCATCTCCCACCCACTTATCTAAATTCCTCACTCACCTTTCATCTAAATTTTCTCTAAAAGATCTTGGTTCCTTATCCTACTTCCTAGGTGTTGAAGTTCTTCTCCACTCAAATGGAATCCTACTCTCTCAACGAAAATATATTCTTGATATTATCACTAGAGCTAAAATGACAGATTGTAAGCCTATTTCCACACCAATGATCAGTTCAGAAATACTCACATTAAAAGGCGGCACACTACATCCACTCCCAACTGAGTATCGCACTCTAGTTGGTGCCCTGCATTATTTATCCTTGACAAGGTCAAACATATCCTTTACTGTAAATTGTTTGTCTCAATTTATGCAGGCTCCAACTTCTATACATTTAACAGCTCTGAAATGATTAATACGATATTTGCATGGTGTGACATCCCCAAAATCACGGCCAGAAAAGATCGGTTTTATTTATGTTTTTAAAATAATTTCAGAGTAAATCCATTGATTTAAAAGAGTTGCGTAATTTGTTTCCAAAAATAAAATATGATAAAGTAATATTTACCAAAGCATTTCGTAAAGAAATGTATTTTCATTAGATAATTAAAACTCAGGATATCATATTCCAATACAGATACAAAAGCATAAACGACATATTACAAGCCATACAACAGTTATATACAACTACAGGCTTATAAACAAAATAACTTGATGATTCATCCATCATATGCCCTCACGCCACTTCCTGTAATACAAATAAACTGAGTGGGTCAAGTTTGGGAGTCTGGTGAGCATATAGGGTTTTCAACCTACAATAAATAATTATATTTAATTTCATCAACCAACAATAAGCCGATTACCCATTCCCGTTATCCTCACTTTACGTCCCTAAAACAACATCAATTACAAGGGACCTAATCTAAGATTTTCATCGGGACGGACATTACTGCAAGGGGTTTCCTCAACAATAGATGTCCTAAAGGCAACCATGTGGGGGATAGAGTACACCGGTAAACACATCGTTCACAACACCTACAGGTTATGAACCTGCTAGCGTTCCACTGGACTGTCTAGAAAGAGTCTGTGGTCGTCATCCATACTCCGTTAGATGACTAGATCAACAACAACATCAACGCCTCTCATCAGTTTATCACACATCAACTATCTACCCAAGTTCTACCCAACATTTTTGTAGATAACAACATACATATGCATTCATATGCAACTTAAAAACTGATAAGATACTCATCCCAAATAAACAAATAACATATATACATATGTATATTTATACATACGTAACACGTATTCTAAAGTAGATAATTCATATCTATGTGTTAGAAGAAAGGGAATATACACTCACTTGATCAGAAGATGATCGGATAACACTACGGCTCTAAAAGTAGTATTCTTCGGTAAATCTGGAAGATCTTCACACACCAGGCTTCTCTTGGGCAGAGCTTCGGCTCAGAAACTGTTTTCTTCTCGGGATCTTCACGCTTCAGGGCTCGCTTCGGGTCTCGGGAATGATATCGGGGCTTCGGGGTATGAGTTGCACGCAAAACGAGGTAATACGGAGGGGAAGAGTAAGGGAGGAACAACCAAAATCGCCTGACCCTTGATTTCTATTTATAGGGTGAGATTTCTGCACTCACGTCATAAGTTTCTAATTCTCACGTCGTAACCCCTGTAGGTCACTGCGTGCGTCACTCGTCCATTTTCTCTGGAAGGCGTCAGGTCTGTGCTCACGTCGTGAGTTCTGACACAGCCTCGATTTTTGTATTCCGAACTTCAGAAATTCATATATTTTGTATACAAGCTCCATTTTCGATGTTCTTTATGTCCACGCATAGGTGAGATTATGCTCTAGAACTCTCGTTTAGACTCCATCGGCTAATTTTGACTTTAACTTTTAATATATTGTTTTAGTAGGCTGTGACAGGAAAACTCCATTAGAAAATCATATCTTCTTCATCTGGCGTCCGTTTTCATCTGTCTTTTTACTGTTGGACTACTATCGACGAGATCTTAGATTCTCATTTAGATTGTTTCGGCCAAATATCACTCGATCTTTATCTCGAGATTTGGGCTGCATACTGCTAACTCAAAACTTCGAAATATCATAACTTCCTCATACGAAGTCAGATTTTGATGTTCTTCTTATGTACGCTCTCGGTTTAACGTATTCTATGACTTTCGTTTAGATCACTAATTCTAGATATCTCTCTATCTTAAATTCATGTTTTACGTCATTCAGCGTCGTGCCGGTTCTGTCGCGAAACTTCGACAGGTCATAACTTCTTCGTTATAACTCAGATTTCAACATTCTTTATATATTCGGAAACCTTGTCATGACCACTACCACATCCTTCATAGATATCAGGTTTATCTAACATTTTATTTTGACACTTATTTTTATCTTTAATTCATTTAAGTCACATAATTAAGCATAAAACACATAATACTCAAATAATACATCTTTATTATTTCAAGACGGGTTACAAAGGTTAACCTAGACTGTTACATCATAATTAATGTCTAGTCTAGAAACACGGGCGTTACACATGGCACTCTACATCATGGCATAGTTCTACATCGGAAATCACCACTTACATTTCATGCTTTCACTGATTCTGATTGGGCAGGAAACAAAGATAACTATATAAGTACTACTGGATATATTATTTACCTTGGTTCAAATCCTATCTCATGGATCCCCAAACGCCAAAGCACTCTTGCTCGAAGTTCCACAGAAGCTGAATTTATAGTTGTTGCATCCACAACCACTGAAGTTCAATGGCTTATCTCATTGCTAAGTGAAATAGGCATTTCATCTTCTACCATACCTGTTATATACTGTGACAACCTAAGTGCCATTTCACTCAAGAATGAAACATAGACTTCCACTTTGTAAGAGAAAAATTCCAGCAAAGGTCTATACGGGTGCAACACATAGCAGGTGATGATCAACTAGATGATGCCCTCATCAAACCTTTACCAAGACTAAGGTTTCATTATCTCATTTCTAAGATTGGTCTTCTCAGTGGATCGTCCATCTTGCGGGGGTATATTAAGATATACCCCGGTTATATCTATTCACATATTTAGATCCATATATTTAGTCCACGTTTATATTACTTTGTCAAATATTGTTTCCGTAGATATATCCATTAGTTAGCCGCCTCTTTCAATATATATACCCTAATTGTAATCCTATGTAATTCAATCAGTATACAATATAGATACAATTCCTATTCATCTTCTTCTTTCAATATATTAAGAACCAAAAAGTCACCAAATCCAAGAGGAGTCAAATGCTTTCACTACCAGGTTGGAGAAAATGTTTTTGTGACTGTGTGAAGTGAAAAATAACACAAGAACCACTTGTTCCTTGCTAATTTGAAGATCCATTACTTAATCAAAAAATTAGCCAACTAATCACTACAAAGACATTTAAACTCATGAATAAAAACATACAAGTAACAAGAAGATGTTAAAACATAAAATATTTTCATAAAAATTCAAGAACAAGTTCATGGAGTTCTTCAACATTCAACCAAATATTCAAATGATTTCACCAAAGTCAAAAAATATTAGTTTAGATTAACATGACTAAACTCAAGATAACAAAATGAGAGTAGATTATACCAAACATCTAGCAGGAAACAAAAGCAAAAAAATGATGTTTTTGATGTGTTATTGGCCTTCCAAATGCTCCAAAATCTCCAAAGAAACCTTCAAATTTCGGATGTGTAGAAGTGTAGAAAAGTTGCACACCATCCTTCCTCATATAGCACTAAATACAAAATTCCAAAACTACCCCCTGTAGCTCCATGCACGGGTCGTGCAACCGTGCGTAGGTGCCTCCTGATGTGGGCTAATTTGAGTTTTTGGGCCTCCAAAGCTTAGCCCACTGCCCCAGTTCGAGTCTAGACATCTCTTAGCCCATTTTTCTTCATGTTTTCTTCATTTTAAGCCCAATTTGGCTTCTCCAAATCACCC